GAATGCTGGAGGAGGAATATCACTTGGTTCCAGTGCTGGCGTGGGCAGAGGCCTTGAGCTTTTTCATGGGCAACTATGAGGGGGGTGGTAAGAATGGAGGACGTGTTTGGGATCAGAAGCCAACAGCCTGTCATCTTCCAGTACAATCCAATCCAAAGTTTTAGTCCTTGCTTCCATAGGCCACTGGAAACATGCATAGCAAAATTAAATACAGAGAAATAACTATTAAAATGGGAAAATAGGTAATATATTATATTACATGGCATAGTATGAATCCTAATATTTGTTGTTGTTGTTGTGTCTTCAAGTTGTTTTCAACTTATGACGCCCCTAAGGTGACCTTATCATGGAGTTTTCTTAAGAATTGTTCAGAGGAGGTTTGCCATTGCCTTCCACTGAGGCTGAGAGTGTGTGACTTGGCCAAGGTCACCCAGTGGGTTTCATGGCCAAGCTGGGAATTGAAGCCTGGTCTCCAGAGTCATAGTCCAACACTCAAACCAGTATGCCACACTGGCTCCCAAATCCTTATATAGATCATATCAAAGGTTTACTAAGAAACAAAAGTTTAAGAACAATTTAGAATTGTTCAGATTTTTTTTAAAAATTCAGAATTATAGTTACAGTTATTTCTGACGAACAGACCAGCAAACAGGTAACTCTCCCTTCTGCTCTGTTAACTGAGAACAAACGACTTTTGCACTTTGAACCTAGTTTGCAGCACCCAAAGTAAGCTGGGAACAAAGGGGGGGGGAAGTGGGAGGATGAGAGTGAAACTGGGACATGTTAAAAACAGCTGAAAAAGTGGGATGGCAGAAGATTAAGTGGGATCATCCCTGTCAAATCAGGACTGTTTGAGGGTATGTTATGGCAGTCCTTGCATAGGATTTTCTTTTCCAAGATTTCTTCAGCGGGGACTTGCTATTCCTTCCTCTGAGGCTGAGAGAGTGAGACTTGCCCAAGGCCACCCAGGTTTTTTTTTTTTCCCCATGGCTGAGTGGGATTCAAACACTGGTCTCCCGGTATTCTAGTTCAACACTCAAACCAGTATGCCAGCGGCTTGAAATATGTACCATATTTCATAAAACCAGTTTTCCTAGAATAAATGAGCAGCAAACAGGGCATTAGGGGTTATGCATACCTTGGGGTTAACAGGTTTCCCGTTTCACAATAGGATTTCCTCCAAGATACTGTGGCTGTGCAACCAGATTTTCAAAATCATGCATGTGTTTGCCTTCCAATGGAGAGAAGAGACGGTTAATGGGTGA